TTCTGCTTTCTGCTAGGTAAACTGAGAGACAGAGTTGTCCCTTGCATAATTTCATCTAGTGATCAACCTGGCCTCAGTTTCCCCATCTGCAAAATTGTCGGGGTTGGACTAGATGACCCCTAAGGTTCCTTCCAGCCCTAGATCTAAGGTAGAAGCAAATAGGAAGATTGAGTTAACTAATCAATCAATCAACAAGCATTTATTAAGTACCTACTATGTGCCAGGCCCTGGTCTAGGCATGGCCAGTCAATGAGCAATGTGCCTTTTATGTTCTAAGAGCTGGAAATACAAATGTGAAAAGGAAAGACCAACAGTGCCTGCCTTCAAGAAGCTTACAGTCTAATGGGGGAAGACAACATACAAAAGTAAGCTGAAAAGAGGAAGGAGAGGGAAGAGAGATTTTGGCCCAGTGGTGGGTGAAGTGGTGGAGAAGTCCAAAGGGCTGTAGCTGGGTGGGAAATGTGCAGCATGGAGTGCCCAAAGACAAAAAGAAAACAGTTCCCACTCTCAAGGAGCTCTCTTGCTGTCCTCACCTCCTGGCTTCCCTGGCTTCCTTCAAGCCTCAAATAAAATCTCACCCTTTGCCAAGAAGCCCTTCCTGATCCTCCTTAATACTGATGCTTTCCATCTCTTGACTATCTCTAATTTATTACTGTATCTATTGTATATAGTTTTTATTCATAGTTGTTTTTATATTGTCCCCCCTCCCCCATGCCCCTCTGTGCCCCTATTAGACTTATGAGCTTCTTTAGAGTAGAGCCAACTTTGGCCTTTCTTTGTATCCCCAGAGCATCCCTGGCACATAGTAGGCATTCAATAAATGCTTGTCGAGTGACATCTGTATTTGACCAAGCAACTTGGCTTTTATGGGCCTTATTTCCCATTGCAAAGAGCTCTCTGGAGATTTATCTTATTGCGGGACGGGGAGGGTTAGGATGAGGAAAGCGTGATACCCCTGTGCAAAGTGGAGTAGGAGATTTACTGTGTTTTGCTTAGAAAAGAAAGCAAGAGAAAGATTTGAGAAGAACTAGATTTTCAGTGACCCTCCTGGGAAGAATGGTGAACAACCTTTCTGAATTCATTTTGGTAACAGAAATTTTAGAAACAGCCCTTCCCATCCACTCCCTGTTAACTAGAGATAGACTCCTTTGGTACCTTCCATGAACTAAAACAATAGTACAGGTAAAAGGACTATGGATAGGAACTGAATCTATGTATGATTTCATTGGTATAAGGAATTTCCAGGTGAGGAAACTCCCTCTGTCTGTGCATCTTGGCATTTTCTCTGCTCCCTAGAGTTTTAAAGACATCCTAGAAAACTGAGAGGTTGTGACCACCCCAGGGTCACACAGCCAGTATGTGTCAGAGGCAGAACTTGAATCTGGGTCTTCCTGGCTTCAAGGCCAGCTTTTTATCCACTGTTCCATCTAGTACAGTGTATCTTACTTTAAGCAAACTCAAAAGGAGGTATTGACAAAAGAAATCAGGGAAATGATCATAAACTTTATTTGTAAAGGAAAGGAAGGATTTCCTCCCAAAGAAAGTTTAAAAAATGAGGAACCTTGAACAAATAATGTCACTGCTAATTTACCTTAGTTTCCCACCTGGATATCAAGAAAATTTTTCGCTAACTACTTATCTCCTAAGACTGTAATTTGTTGTCTGGGGACAAAATTGTGTTGCTATCATGAAATGACTCTAAGAGATAGTTTTTTTTTCCTCCTCACTTCTCTTGGGAAAATAATTTCCAGTATTAAGGAGTCCATCATTCAGGTCACTTTTCTGGTTTCTTCCAGGGAAAACCAGCAGAGTTGTTTTTTGTATTGTTTGACCTAATGACCAATTTTCCTGATTCCTGATGATGAGAACATAATATGGGAGAGCAGTGAGGGTAGTAACAGAAAGGAAGATTGAATCCCAGACATTGTTCCTAATATGGTTCAATTAAGGTCTGTGTGATATTCCTTTCCACCCTCCATCTTCCCATCTGTGAAATCAGAACAGTGCTTTTCACCACTGACCTCCTCCCTCTCCCAGAGCTGAGGTATAATGACATTTATCTTGAGAAAAAACAGATGCCTGTACTGAGACCCAAGGTTCCCCTTAACCTTGGTGCACTAAGGCAACTGAAGAGAGAACTTTTTTTTTCCCCCTTTGCTCCAGACCTCAATATGTTCTTTAGAAATGGATTCACTTTAAGCACAATCACAAAGCCTAGTGAAATATTTCAAGGAATGAAAAAGAAAAGCATATATCAAGTACTCAGTATGTGCAATACACTGTACTAGGCACAGAAGATACAAATAGAAAAGTAAGATAGTTCCTGCTTTCAAAGAGCTTGCTTTCTCCACCTATTAAGATAGAGACAGCACATAGAGGAGATTTCAGCCATAAGTCCAGTGGAAAGGCCTGGTCATCCTTAGGGTGCAGAGACAACGTAGATGGTAATACATCCTCTCTGGGGTCATTTCCATAAACAAAGTCATTTTCAGTTTCTGATGTTCAACCATTCAGTATTGCCCAGGACTCTGGCTTTGAGAATTTTCTTTCAGGGCGTTGTCAAAGCCTATCTATCCTAGCTATCCTAGCAAGCTTCTCCATGCCAAGCAGGTAGGAGGACCAGAATTCAAATCTGGCCTTAATAAATACTCTTTCCCTTCCCTTCCCTTCCCTTCTCAGCCTGATTATTATGAGGATCAATCTCATTTTCATACTAATATTAGGACATTGGCTGTGATGCCTTGAGTCACGCCATGAAATGTGCTGTCTTTCTTATGTGAAGAGGACACTTCCAAACTCTCACAGAAGGGTATGCATTTTGACCTGGCTTTCCAACAGCAGCAACAACAGAACAAAACAAAACAACAGCTAACAGTTACAAAATATTTTAACACCTGCAAAGTGGTCGAACATCCTCATTACAACCCTGTAATGTAAGTTCTTCTTTTTTTTTTGAGTGAGTTTCCACAACTTCCCCACTCCCAAAGTACCTGCAAATGTAGTAACCCATGCAAATCAGTAAGCCACTGGCAGCTTATAGTTTTAGAAAGTGCCTCGGAGAACCAAACTCTGGTTGGTATCATAGACAAAGAAGGCAAAAAAGTGAAAATTTTACATTTTAAAGAGATGTTCCTCTGGCAGTCCTTAAACTGCCACTGGTCCTTCACGCCAAGGTGTAGGGTTAGAGGCATACAGCCTAGTGGCAAAAATATTTTCTTAGCTAAGAAAGATAAGGCTGAAAAGGTTGCTCTGTATTTTGAGATAAGAGGAAGGGTTTGATTAAAAGGAGGCTTTTTCAAAGTGTGTATTTTAAGTCAAATTCAGTTAAACTTGTTTATATTATTAAGTTCAGCTCATTTAGTTAAGTTTAAAAATAAGAGTATGTGTCAGAGTCAGGACCTTCTGATTCCAAAGTCAGCCACCTATCCACTATGCTCCCCTGCCTTTGGCAGATACCAATAGAAGCCCTATTTTGCAGATAAGGTAAGTGAGGCTTGAGTTAAATAATGTTCTCAGGCTCATACAGTCAGTAAGTGTCCACAGAAGGATTTGAACTCTGGTCCTCATGACTTCAAGTCCAGCATAAGAAATAGGGAATATAGTTAGGCTGATAGATCCACTCTCTTTGGCCCGACTCTTTGAAATGGTGTGCTGCAGTGAGATGGCTGACCAAGGTGAGGGACACAGCCTTAAGTTATACAATAGAACGAGGTGATTGGTCTAAAAAAGAACCAAACCTGTGACGTTGTCATTGTAAGCCCCATTGCAGCATTGAGTCTCTAGACCATGGAGTATAGTCATATTAACCCGTGATTTCATGGAAGAAATGGAGTTCTACCCCTCCTACCCTGTTTCCATCACACTGAGATTACTGAATTTCTGTTCAGAAGTGTGGAGCCTGACCCAAAGCATGAATTCCAATGCATAGCGCCCTTTGATTCTGAAATTTATTCGGGGTCCTCTCAGCATATTTCCCATCTACTTCTGTGGCCCACACCTTGGGCCCTGTTACATTGGGTCCTGGCTTGGAATCTTCCTAATTTGTCCCAGAAGAACCCTTTTGGATGATTTTCCCTTCTTCTCTACATCCCTTTCTTGTTTTTGTGGGATGGTTTTTCAAACTGAAAGATCTCTTTGTCTCTTTGTATGTCTCTGTCTCTCTTCCTCTCCCTCCCTCTCTGTCTCATCTCCCTCTCTCTCTCTCTCTCTCTCTCTCTCTCTCTCTCTCTCTCTCTCTCTCTCTCTCTCCCTCTCTCTCTCTCTGTCACCCTTTGTCTCCATCTATCTTTTTTTCCTCTCCTCTCCCTCTTCTCCCTCCTCTGTGTCCCCTGTCTCTCCATCTCTCTCTCTGTGCCTCTCTTTCTCCTTCTGTTTCCTTTTGTTTCCATCTCTTACTCTCCCTCCCTCTTCTCTCTCTTCCTCTTTCTCTTTTTCAGAAGTGTGGGGTTTAACAGACAAATGAACCCACTCAATCCTGTTCTCTTAATCTGCTACTCCCAGAAACCTTGCTCCATTCCATCGGGGACAATCTAGCATGGTTTTTGTGTGTTGCCTCAGCAGCCATAACCTGGCCTTGGGTCTGGTTTACTTTCTGGTGCTTAGTATCCATCATAATATATGAGCATCTGCATTCCTGTAATCTATTCCATTCTCCCCTCTATCCCTCTCTGGCTCATTGTCTAATTGCCTTCTGTCCTAATCATGTTGTGGTTTTTTTGTGTTTTGTTACTGATGGGAAGCACGAGTGATGGAGCAGGGTGTCTCAGTCTTATTTGGTCCCTGGTAGTGACAGGTTTAATGTTTCATCTTCTCTCAGGCCTCTGTGGGACACAGCTGGGTGGTTGCGGTCCCATGCAAGGTTGATTTTGGTCATTCTTTCCTGAGCCAAGATGACACGTCCATGGGTCAAGAAACGATGCACCCATGAGATCATTGTTCCTATTCTCTAAGGGAAATCAGAGCTGTCTTCTAACAATGACCTTTTTTTGGGCTTCCTCCAGGTCACCCCACCTGCCTGCAGTTTACCCTGAACATGACCGAGGCTGTCAAAACCTACAAGTGGCAATGCATCGAGTGCAAATCCTGCATACTCTGTGGAACCTCTGAGAATGATGTGAGTTTGAGACTCTCCAAGCAGGGAAAGTGAATGCAGAGAGAGGACGGGAGGGAAGGTGGGTTCTTTCCAGTGGTTCAGTAAAAATGGCAGAAAGGGACCTCCTTAGCCTTTGTTAAGTGGGGGAAAAGATTCTTCAGTCCACTTTTAGTAAAAGGGTCTTAAGTCACTGGATCATAAGTTTAAGCTGGAAGGAACCTTCAAAATCCATCTAAATCAGAGGCATCAAATCCCAGCCCCAATGTGCCCAACTGGATAACTGGGAAATGTTTAACAAAAATACCTAAAATACAATACAGCATAGAGGATGTTATTTGTGGTTTTCTAAGTCAATCTGCAGCCTGCAAAGAACTGTTTCTATCTGAGCTTGACATCCTTGCTCTTGTCCAACCTCCTCATTTTGCAGATGAGGATGCTCAGGCTCAGAGAGGTTAAGTGACTTGCCCAAGGTCATAAAGGTGATAAGGATCAGAGCTAAAATTTGAATTCCAGTGCTCTGAATCACTGTTCTTTCTACTACAGGGCCCAGACTAAGGTAGTTATGCTTGTGGAGATAGAGCTGATAGAGGTCATTTCCCTGACCTGGGTTCTAGCTTGCTCTCCAGTACCTTATTTTTCATTATTTTTTAAATTTCTTTTTATTTTTTCATTATTTTTCCATTTTTTTTGGCCTTGCAGATAGGAGCCTTATGAAAAATTAACTCCCAGTAAGTTGAGTAAATTGATCTTTAGCAATGAGTGCTTTCCATAAATCCAGCTTTTTATGCAGCCTGGGAGGACTCTGACAGCTCTCTGAGGGAGGTAGCAGAACTTTTTGAATACGTACGAGGTGCCCATCACAGTGCTAATACTGTGACTTCCAGTGTGGTCCATGCAGATCCTGGCCCCAGACCCTTGCAGGATGGACTTGAGCAGCATCCATGCTTTCAGTTTGTCCTGCCTCTCTCCTAGGAATGAGCTCCTAGGGCCAATCAAACCTCAACAGGGCTGGCAAGGTTTTCAGAGGAGTTAGATACCTCCAGGTAGCTCCTAGAAGTGGTTCTAGAACTAAGAATGTTGGATAAATAATACCCAATCTGGACAAATGCCTTGTGGATTGTTAAGTGGATATGAGGGATGGGAAGTTATTTCTATAAGGCCCCACAAGTCTCCCCTATCGGCCATCAAACTTCTCTTAGATGAACTTAGGGCTTATAGGATCATAGCTATACAAAATGAGATTTGCAAACCTTAAGACTCTATATGTGTTAGCTATTGTTATTTTTATGTAGCATCAGAAGAGGCTTTAGAGATCATTCAGTCCAAGCAACTTATCTTTCAGACCATTTTTTCAGAAATAGATACTCAGAGAAATTAAGTGATTTCTTCAAGGCCACTGAGAAAGTGACTTTGAGGCAGGAGTAAGGTTTGAACTCAGGTTCTCAGATTCTAAACCCTGTGTTTTGCACAGGCTTCTAAATGGAAAGGGCTCTTTAGAACAGAGAGGGGTTTGCTGGGGTTGAGAGGTAATCTCAGTCTCTCCTTTCTTTTGGGATGTCATACAGGGTTGGAGGGGGTTGGGGTGCTATTAAAATGCATAACAAAAAAGGCTAGACGACTGATGTTAACATCCCTTCTCCCTATTATTGTGCCCTCTCACCCAAATTTTCAAGCACTTCAGGATGAGGGTAGTCTCATCAAAATATCTGTGGGCAAAGCCTGCTGGAATTTTGGACAGTTCCTAGGTGCCACCTGAGTCATAGTTTCACTAACATGGATCAATCAGAAGAGGGAAAGGCAGATCGGGGCCATACTCTACACTGAAGAATTAGGACAATGTAGGATTGGAGAGTGCACCTAGCTGCCACGAGAGGCCCAACTTTTGGGGAGTCAGATGGTCATTTTGCCGTCTGTTACATGGTCAGCTAGCCAGCACCTTCTTGGTAGTAAGCCTTCTCATTCTATAGAATATCTCACTGGCTTTTTCACTGGCTGTCCTAATCTGAAATGCTCTCTCTTCACCTCTGCCTCCTGGCTGCCTTGACTTCCTTCAAGCTCAAACCCCATCTTCTTCTTTTTTTGATGTGGGGAGAGAGGCAATTGGGGTTAAGTGGCTTGCCCAGGGTCACAAAACTAGTAAATGTCTGAGATGGAATTTGAACTTAGGTTCTCCTACCTTCAGGGCCGGTGCTGTGTCCACTGAGCCATCTAGCTGCCCCTCTAATCCCATTTTCCTCTGGTGGCCTGGTCCACCTTCTCTTCCATACACCCTCCACCCCACCCCACCCTCAAACTGCTTGTGCCTTCCCTCTGAGATTACTTCCCATTTACTCTCATTTTGTCTTAGATGTTTGTAATTATGTGCGTGGCTTCTCCCTCTTTAGAATATGACTTTCCTGAAAGTAGGAACCAAGTTTTTGCTTTTCTCTGTACCCCCGGCATTTGCACTTAGTACAAAGTAACAGTACCTGGCACATAGTAAACACGTAACAGATACTTGTTGACTCCCTCACTGACATGTTTGATGTCTCTTCTTCAGCCCCCTCCTTTCTGCTTCCATCTCAGACCCTTGGATTTGGGTGCCCTGAGAAATTCTCTTTCCAAACCTACCCTGCCAGTTTTTTCTTTGTTGCCTCCTTGGCTCCCATTTTGGACCTTGCCCCACTTTCCCTAGGCAGAGCTTTTCCCTCTGCCTCTGGGATTGCCTTCATTCCTGGAGAGTATCCTCCTCTGTGGGGGATATGATAGGTTTCATCATTCAAAGGGGGCCTACTTGCAGCCTACTGAGGAGGGAGAGAAAGGAATGATCCCCTGTGGGAGGAAAGGGAGGGCAGTAGTTATAAAAAAGGAGGGAGGGGAAGCCAAGAGAGAATTGGTGGAGGGAAAGGAAAATTAAGGATGTCTTCTTGCAAGCTTTAGAGTCATCCTAAATTCTCTCCCAGCAGCCCCTGCAGTTCAGCCAGGTGCAGTGAAGGGGTAGCCACCCTTGGAGCCCGAGAACCATGGTCTTCTCAAATGTCAAGGTTAAAGAGCTTTCAAAGACCAGGCTGCTAGAGTGACCCTGACTCCTAGAGGTCATGAATGGGTTCAATTCGATCCAATAAGCGATTATTAAAAACCTGTCTTTCCGAATTTATTTCCCATTGCTTACCCCTTCGTGTGCTCTACATTCCGGCTTGCTGTTCCCCTTACAAAACATGCTATCCCCCACCACTGGCTGCACCCAATGCCAGGAACGCTCTCACTCTTCAGCTTAGAATTTCTAGTTCCATCCAAGGTTCAGTCCAAATGTCACCTCATATAAAGCCTTTCCTGAGCCTCTCTCAATGGTTAGAGCTCCCTTCGCTTTGCAATGACTCTAGGCTTACTTGATATGCTTTTGTGTTTATTTATCTGTATGCATATTCCCCTCTCCTCCACTCCTCCTCCTCCCAGTTGACCATAAGCTAATGGAAGGCAGGGGCTGTTTTCATTTCTGTCTTTGTAAATATACACATATATTTGTAAAATATTTGTAGATAGACATTTGTAAACATAAACACATCACAGAACGTTATACATAGTAGATACTTAACACTTGGTTGCTGACTTAAATTACAACATTCAAGACACTGACCTTTTTATTTGTTTGTTTATTTATTTATTTTTATTTTAACATGTGTTTTTAAAACTTTGGGTTACAAATTTTCTCTCTTCCTCCCTCCCCACCCACCCTCATTGAAAAGGCAAGCATCTCAATACAGGTTATAGATGTGTAGTCAGGCAAAACACTTCCCTAGTCGTCCTGTTGTGAAAAACTAAGTATATTTCCCTTCATCCTATCCCACCCCCCATTTATTCTATTCTCTATTTTGACCCTGTCCCTCCTCAGAAGTGTTTGCCTCTGATTATCCCCTCTCCTCTATCGACCCCCTGCTCTAAGACACTGATTTAAATACAGGACCTAACCTGCAGCTTTTCTTTATGTCCTTGATCCATAGACTAGACCTTGGCTCTGGTGGAAGCAAAGATGGGTTTTGAGACTGAACTCACCTTTGCAAACACTCTTTTGTTCACCTGTCTAGGGGTTGCGTGGTGGAATAGGGGTGATGGTGGTGCTGAAACACTTGACAAATCATTGGTCAGTAGCCAAAGCAATGAGGTTCACTTCTCCCTGGGAGATTGGGGATCCCAAACCCTAATCTTCCTTTGCTTATCACTGCCCAGAACTTAGTTCGTTTCAGTCTCTGTCATCCAGAATAGCCAGTGAGAAAAGAAGGGAGACTCGGACCTTGCTTTACTTCAAGGAGCTGAAGGGGAGGGATTGCTTCATTTTCTCTCCCTCCTGGAGAGCTGACAAGGCGCAGAGTACTGCTGGGATGTTTTTCCCATTAAAGCCCCCCCCCCCGAATTAAGCCAAAGGATAGAGGAGTTCAAGGCCAGACATTGACACCTTGCTGACGCTAGGTACAAGTGATAAGGTCAACAAGTGATCCCTGAAAACCCATTACATATGTCTGGCACTGTGCTGGACACTTTGAGTTGGAGATTCATAGAACCATTCCTGATTTCATGGAGTTTATAGTTAGTGAATAAGCCTTTTTTATTAAGAAATCAGGTGCTGTGATTTCATTAGCATAGAGAATTTCTGTTGTGGAAACTCCCTCCACCAATGCTCAACAACTCCACTTGGGACTATAACTTAACAATCTTTAAAAGTTGCCTAAAGGGTCAGCAGGTGGTGAAGTGGATAGAGTACCAGCTCTGGAGTCAGGAGGACCTAAGTTCAAATCTGACCTCAGACACTTGACACTTACTAGCTGTGTGACCCTGGGCAAGTCATTAACCACATTGCCTAGCCGCCCCCCCCCCAAAGTTGCCTAAAATTGGAGATGACATAAAAAAGGAGATTTAAAAAAAAAGTTTCCAGAAGCACCAAGAGGTTGTGACTTTCCAAAGGCTAGGATGTGTTAGAAGCAAGATTTGAACCCAGGTGTTCTGGGCCTCAGACTCAGCCATCTATCCATTACTACAGACTGTCTCTTAGTTTTTCCAACCAGAACTATGATTTCATCAGCATGGGGGGGAGGCTCTTCTCCACTGAAGTGGCTGCTCTATAACTTGTAGTCTTAGACAGTTGCTGGGATCACTGAGAGGTCAAGTGATTTGCCCATAGCCACACAGCTGGTATGTATCAAACAGAATTTGAACTGAGATCTTTCTGACTCCCAGGATGGTACACTATTCATTTATACCAAGTTGCCTCTCTAGGCTATGAAAAGTTAAATAAACATAAAATAATTTTAAAAATTTGATTTTAAAAAATCTAGATATATAGAAAAGGAGGAGGGCATTCTGGTTGATAACAGTACCAGTGGCAGGTAAGCTTATAAGAAATGTCCAGGGATTGTTGAGCAGGTCAGCTTGTTTGGTTTACAAGGTGAGTAGATGGGATTAGAAAGGCAGATTAAAGCAGGATTTTGGTGATGGTCATGAAAGATTTGTGGACCTAAAAGATTAACTCTGTTCTCCTTCTCTCTCTCTCTCTCTCTCTCTCTCTCTCTCTCTCTCTCTCTCTCTCTCTCTCTCTCTCTCTCTCTCTTCCCTTTCCCTCTCCCTCTCTCTCCTTCCCTCCCTCTTTCCCTCTCTCTGTCTCTGTCTCTCTCGCATCCCCCCCATCTCTCTCTGTCCTTCTCCATTAGGACCAGCTGCTCTTCTGTGATGACTGTGACCGCGGCTATCACATGTATTGTTTAAATCCCCCTGTGGCTGAGCCCCCTGAAGGTAACTGACAGAACTCTCAAATTAAGGGGTGCAGAAGGGTATTTTATGGTGAAATTACCAATGTAAGATGAAGTGTGGGGGGAAAATAAAAAGGTTATGTAGTTCACTGCTACCCCTTCCTCAGGATCCCCTGTGGGGATACCGAGTCACTGGAGAAACAGCTTTGCTGGAGCAACTATCTCATTGATCCAGAAAGCCTTTGTAGAGAATGGTAGCAAATAGATTCTTAGAAAATAGAAACTGGATCCAGAATACAGAGACAATCTGCATATCCAGGAAAACAGGGTCCAGGACTAGATTCCTGAAGACTAAATTTGGAGGAAGGGTGAGGAGTGTGTATTCGAAACCTAGAAGAAATTTCTTTTTCTTTGGACCTGTTATTTTATCCATGTAGATTATTAACTCCGACTGCGGAAATCTCTCCCTTACTAATGCAGATAGCTGTAAATTATAACAGCTATAACATAACATTTATCATATACCATTATAATTTATAGTTACATACAAACATGTATAGATCATATATAACATTATTATAACACATTATAATTTATAATTACATATAAATTACATAATTTATAATAATTACAACTATCTATAATTTATAGAGTTAGAGAATTGCCTAAGACATAGGAAAGTGACTTATCCAGGTTCACACAGCTAGTATGGAAGGAGGTGGGGTGGGACTTTAAGCCTGGTTCTTTCTAATTCCAAAGCCAGCCCTCTTTCCATTACTAGCAGTCTAAAGAGTAAAGCATTCTGCCCAGGTACTTTGTCTCTGTTCAGTTTTCCTAGGAAAATGGGGGACAGATGGGTTACAGATTTAAGGGATCCTTAAATCCTCCAAAATGTCACATTTGGGGGAAGGGGTTTCAGAGACACTCCCCCTCCTCCAAAAGCTTTATTATGGTACTGACAAGAGAGGCAGAGTAGAGTAGGGGGCAGAGTTGGCTTTGAAGCCAGGAGGACCCAGGTTCGAATATATCCTGGCTCTGAATGCCGCAGGCAGCTTTCTAACACTGCATTGCAGTGCAGGTAGCGATGACCTGTCTTGGGAGAGGGACTTTCCTCACTGCACAAATGAAATGACAGTTAGAGTCCCCATCTCTATGATGGTTTATAATCTGGGCTCTGGGGCAGGGCTAACACTGACACAATCTTGTGGGTTTTTTTCCTTGTCTAGGGAGCTGGAGTTGCCACCTGTGCTGGGAATTGCTCAAAGAGAAAGCCTCCGCCTTTGGCTGCCAGGCCTAGGGGGCTGACCCCCGGGATGCAGGATGTCACTTGCTCCCATCGAGCTGGTACCAGCACACAAGTTCCCAACTCAGACCAAGCACCCACATCCCCACACCTACACAGACCGACACAAGAGAAAACAGTCACAGAGGGACACACAAGGACACTTGCAAACAAGAGGAGGAGACATGTATTTACCTCCCTTGGGTAGGTTCCACCACTTCAGACAGGCCCCTCCTGGGTCTTACTGGAAGGAACTTGTACTTTTCAAGAAAGAAAGCTCCAATTCCTCCCCTCACTTTCTCTCTCCCCTGCTTCCCCATTGAAATTTCCCTCATTTTTGTCTGAGCACTGAAGCTTTCTCACTGGTTTCTGGGCTAAATGGAAGCTGTTCTGTGAACACTGAATAGTCATTCTTGTGTAGTCTAGTGTTTTATGTTCTCTCTGTTCCAAGAAACCTTCAATGATTCTCCAACCCTTTGCCCTCTCACTTGCCTTCTCCTCCCCCTTCACAAATCCCACCAGGCAATGATGCCTTCCACCCTTTCACTGGTTCAAGAGAACAAGCCTGACTGGGAATTTCCTGGTTCCAAAGGGGGCCACCATCCTGAAAGTCTGGGTTGCTCCCAAACTCTGCCCTCAGAGACTTTATGTGAAAAACAAGTTCTACTTTCCTGCTGCCCCAACAATATATCCAGTGGCATGAATAACCCCAAGGGGTCCACACCCACTGAATTGAATCACTTGATAGAGGAGTGGGAAAAGAAAGAACAGGGAGATGAAGGAAAGAGGAAGAGAATAATGGGAAAATGTGCCACCAGCCAGTGTTTGCTCTTTGCTTCCCAAATAGCAGAAGCTTTGGAAGGCACTGTGTTTGTCTGATTGACTTAGATGCAATCCCCTGGATTGGCGCTTTTTGGGGGGGGAGGGCATGGAAGGCAAATTAGTTTGAAAGGTTCTGTAAGTATAGACTATGGAGAGAAAGAGAAAGAATCTTTCCTTCCAACCAAACTTTTTGATCAGCTTTTCTTGTTGGAACTCCAGCACCACAGCTTGGAGAGCCAGGAGGCCAAGGGGATGTCGGTTTTCCTTAGGTAAGGGGTAGCCAAACCAAGTGTGTAGTTTGGCATTAGAAGCCCTTTCAGTATTGACAGTGTGAGTGGCACCAGGAGTGCTTTTTGCCAAGGAACTTCTCAATTCGGACAGTATATTTTTTTGCTGGGGTGAACTGAAGCATGACTCCTGGGAAGGTCTTATAAGTAGCAGAGAGATGATTATTGATTGTTTGAGAAGCTGCCTGGCAGAGTGAATAGAGAGGTCATTTCAAAGTCTGGAGGAACTGGGTTCAAGTCTTGCCTTTGACACATACTGGGTATGGGATCTTAGGCAAGTCAATCAGTGCTCCTGGACAAGTGTCTAAGAAGGTAAATTTAAGAGCAGGTACCAATCTGTATTAGTAAAGGGAGTTCCTCACTGGGAATTCCCTCTATGCTTGTAGTCACAAATCTGGTCTTCCTTTCCTCCTAAAAAAAAAAGCAAATAATTAGAATCATGAGACAAAATAATTATTTAGAAGCATCAGTTTTGGAGGTTCCTTGACTTTCAAATCTCCCTTGACTTCCAAATCTCCCTTTTGACTTTACCTAAAAAAAAAAAAAAGAATTAATGCTTGAGGTAGAGGATGATCAGCTCAGATTCTAAAAATGGTGAGCATTCCAGGATGGCCCCATGGGCTGAAACTTGTCGGGCTGCCTTTGAAATGGGGCAGCAGGTCTCTGGAAAATCATTTGCCCAAAGGGCAGGTTTCTGCAGTGGGGACCCTAGCGCATGCTCTGTTTCCCTGCTATCAGCTTCAACACCTTGGTCCAGCTCCTGACTACAAAGGCAGAGGTTATTTTTAGCCCACAAACTCCCCCAAGAAGCCTGTTGGGATTTGGGGTAGCTGGCCACTTCTGCTGCTCTGTTTGCTTTCGAATTTGGCAGGAGCTCACATTTCCTGTGCTAATTGCTGGCAGCCAGTAAATCAGATGTAGCATAGGGAGGAGTTGAGCATTTGGTGTTCCTACCCCCACCCCCCCAACCCCTACCTTGCCCCTTTCCCCAATCTATTTCTTTTGCTGAAGCGACCCATGACAAGAGACTTGGGTCATTTTCCTGTAGGAGAATGCAGGCTATGAGTGATTTACACGCATATATAATGATCTCATTTAAAAGGACTGTCCAGATGGAAATCGCATCTTCCTCCCAAGACATTGCCTTCTCCTCCTGGCAATCCTACTTTGGATTATGAACGATTGAGTATTTAAGAAGTCTGGAAATGTTTTTTGGAGGTGGACTTTCTCCACATGTGATTTCTTTGTTTTTCCCTTTGCCTACCTGGGAGAGTGAAATGAGACTGACCATATTTTTTTCTGTTTTTGATGAGGTGACTCTTCAATTCTTTCAGGGCACAAAGGGACAATGCTCCATGCTCCAGAGGATTGATTATTAGGTTTTAAAAAATCATTTCAACTGATTTTGGATGAAAATTCACTAAAATAATCTCAGATACCGTAACTCCTTAAATCTTAAATATATATGTGTAAATGTATGTATGTGTGTGTCTACACACACACACACACACACACACACACACACACACACACACACACACACACATACACATACACACGCATACAAAACCAAAATCTTTTGGGACTCAGGTCTCTGCCTGTTAAATGAAGAGTTTGGAGTCAGCCTCTAAGAGTTCTCCCTGATCTAATGTTCTGTGATTCTATAAAATCAGTTGACAATGCAGGTCTCCTTGTAGATTGCTCTGAAATCTGCCTGTCCTGCATCATTGCACATGACAAGGTTGTCCAGTTCTCTGTCTGCAGGCACATCTGCTCTGATAGCATATGCTGAAAATATAGTTATCAAGTTTCCCAAGCTTGTGAAAAATAATTCACCACCAGTGTCTGCCATAAGGAGACAGATAGACCATGTGGTCAAGTGTTCAGGGGTCTGGAATGGGGCCATCCTTAGAAGATTTCCGCATGCTGTTCCCAGCTTTGCTGCTTTCTTGAGGAATGACCCTAGGAAGCGCCTTTCATCTTTGTATACCTTACTCTCCTCATCTGGAAAGCAGGGATAACAAAACCCTGATAGTGAGAGCCCGTTTTCGTTAGAAGAATTGATAGAATCTATATGAAAAGTGAGGCACAAGAGCAATGTAATCTAGGGAAAAGAACATTGAACTTCAGTTCAGAAAACTTGGGTTCCAGTCCTGACTTTGATACTTTCTAGCCTGCTGCCACTGATGAATCATTTCATATCTCTGGTCCTAAATTCTGCCTCTGTAAAATGGGCATCATCATACTTGCACTTGCTCCCTCACAGGATTAGTGTGAGGGGAGGGCTTTGCAAACAGCAAGCACCCTATAAATGCCAGCTGCTGTTATTAGATGGCACCAAATATTGCTTAATTTGGTTTTAAAGGGAAAGTGTGAGAATATTTGAAACTGACCATCTCTTTTGAACCTTGGTGGAACAAAGTATTAAAGTAAAGTAGCTGCAGGATCTGGGCTACACCCAAAGTAACTTGCACATCTGCTTCCTTTGCCTGAGTGTATCAGAGTTAAGTGCTTACCTGATATCTCCCTCAAGGCAGTGTTGACCTGGTTCTTGAGTCAAAGGACCTGGGTTGGAATCCCATCTTAGATGATTACTAGTTGTGTAACTTTGGGCAAATCACCTAACTTTCCTGAGTCTCAGGCTCCCTGTCTGTAAAATTTAAGGGAGTTAGACTAGATGGCTCCTAAGCTCCACTGGATTAAAAATAGGTCAATAGAAGTTCAGTAATGAGGGACATCTTGTTTTGGGGTAAGACCATGCCAAAGATATCTTGGGTCTGTCATGATGTGTATAGAGATTGAGCTGAGGGGGATGAAATTTTAGAAGGGTGTACTTGAATTTAGCCTTAATTTTCAAAGTATTGTGACTCCAGGGAAACAGCCTGATAGAGTGGAAGAAAGTTGCACTTGATTTGGAATTGGAGGACCTGGGTTCAAATCCTGGGCCTGCAACTTACTATGAGCAAGACTTGGGTGTGACTTTGGCCAAGTCATTCAACCCCTCTGGGCCTCAGTTTCTTCACCTTGTAAAAGAGAGGATTGGACTAGGAACTAAATGGTCTCTAATGGCTAGCTTTAAATCTGGGCTATGCCCTCCATCAGAGGGCTAAGGAACCGAGGATGGAGAACTAAGTAAAGGGGAAAAGAAGGGAGAATTCAGAATAGAGAATTGCCACTGATTCAAGAAAATCTAGGCATAGCTGGACCCCTAGGAGAAGTCACTATTAAGGGATGGCAAGGCAGCTAAAGTTAACCCTTAGGAATAGCTAGGTGGCACAGTGGATAGAGCACTGGGGCTGAAGTCAGCAAGACTCATTTTCCTGAGTTCAAATCTGGCCTCAGATACTTACTAGCTGTGTGACCCTGGGCAAGCCATTTAAACCAGTTTGCCTCAGTTTCCTCATCTGTAAAATGACCTGGAGAAGGAAATGGCAAACCCCTACAGTATCGTTGCCAAGAAAACTCCAAATGGGATCATCAAGAGTTGAACTCAACCGAACAACAACAAAGACAGCCCATAATTCAATATTACTGCCTGCCTGATTACTTTTCCTACTCTGGCTACTTGCTGTAGCAGGAAGCTGACCAGTGAGGTGAACGGCAATCATTTTAGATCACAGATCCAGAGGTAGAAGGGACATTGAGTCTAACCCCTTCATTTTATGCTTAAAGAAACCAAAGACATTCTCTGCCTCTCAACCCAGCCGCATACTTAACAAAGGGAAGGTAAAACAGACATATCCAAGCCCAAGGCTCCAAATCCTTTTCTACCTGTGGCCATGTAACCTAGAAGTGAAACAGTAAGCAATCAACGTGAGAAAGTGGAAAGAGCACTTTGAAATCGGAGGACTTTGGGTTTGAATCCCTGTTCTGCCACTTAATCCCTATGTGACCTGGGATAATTCTCAGCCTCGGTTTCCTCATCTATAAAATGAGAACATTGTACTAGATGACCTCTTTGTAGCTCTAAGTCTATGATCTAGATAAATCAATTCACTTCTATGGGATTCCATATTTTCTTTTTTTAAAAAAAAGCTTATTTTAACATTCTTTTCTTTTTAAATTTTGAATTCCAAATAATCCTCTTCCCTCCCACCCCTCCCCTACCTACTGAGAAGGCAAGCAATATGATAACAATTATACACGTGAAATCATGTAAAACATATTTCCATATTAGTCCAATTTCCAAAAAAAGCAAGAAAAAGAAAGTGTGAAAATTATATTTCAATTTGCACTCAGAGTTTATCAGTTCTCTCTCCAGAGGTGGATAGTGTTTTTTCATCCCGAGTCCTTTGGAATTGTCTTGGATCATTTGGTATTGATCAGAGTAGCCAAGTCTTTCACAGCTGATCATCACAGGATTCTGTTTTTTTCAACTGCTAAATAGGAACTGTGGAATAATCGATCGCTAAGGTCCCTTCCAGCCCTCACTCATGTGACTGGATGTGGGTGCTCGCTTAACTTGGCTGCTCTCTCTTCTTTCTGAGTTTGAATTACAATGTCTCAAAAAAAGTCTGCATTCAGAACTGGGTACTAGAAGTGGAAATGGCTTAGCACCACAGGGACCTCTCTTTGTCACTAGACCAGGTAGAGTGTGCAGGCCACAGCAGGAGGAATAGCTTCCCCCAAGAAGTTTCTTATTTTTTTTGACTCTAGCCACATTGATGGCTGTGGGTGGGTGGGTGGAAGGGAGGGTGGAAGCTATCAGAGCCTTGGGAAGATAACAGGTTTTAAGGATGGGGGAGGGAATGGATTTCACAGTGATGGTTTCATGATACCCTGGAGAGCTACATTCGTGGTGCATTTTAGTCCTCCTGCTTTGAACACAGCACGATTCCTTTCAACCCTTCCCTTCTCTCTGGTACAGAGGATGAAAAAAAAGATTCAGATATTTTAAGAAAGAAAAATGAGATGATTGTTATTGCTTTTTCTACAGGGACAAGTTTGGGAAGCCAGTGTTTGTATTTTGTTATTGATGGTGATTTAGGGAAAACATTGTTTGGAGTCTTAATTTTCTGTGCTTGGATGTGGTTACAAAATCTGGAGTGTTCTATTTGGTTCCTAGCACTGCAGTTTGGGACAGGGGTATTTATGGGATGGAGAGTGGTTGAAAGAGGATGGCTGGGAAGGTGGGTAGCCATGAATACACTTCATATGGGGAGCAACAGAATGAGCTAAATTCTCAGTCAGGAGAAGAGAAGACTTGGAGTGGGGGGGGACCATTATAGCTGTCTTCAAGTCTTTGAAAGGCTGTCACATGAAATGGGGACCAAACCTGTTCAGTTGGTCCAGGAGGGCAGAACCAGGAGCAACAGGAGGGAGCTGCAAAGAGGCAAATTTAAGCTTGAAGATTCCTGGGTCTACAACTTACTTTTTGTGAGGATTCCTTTTCTAGCATGAGGTGGACTGAAGTTTCTAGACCTAGTCTAACTCAATACTAATTCTAGAATTCAGTGATTCCATGAAAATTTTATGGTACTTTTTTAGATGTTATGGATGACAGTTTTCCTTAGGTAGAGAGCAAAACTCCTTCCCTCGCCCCTCATCTCTGAGGTAGCAGGGTATAGGAGAAAGGGCACTGATAGTGAATTTACAGTAAGAAGATTTGGATCCATACCTGGCTCTGCTACCTATGACCCACATGACCTACCTAGTGGGCAAATCACTACTCTGTTTCCTCATCTATAAAACCAGAGGGTTGGACTAGAACTCTATGGTTCCTTCCAGTTCCAAATCTCTTATGTGCCTATCTCCTCAGTACCCTGCATCACACACAACCTGAACGCCTCTCCTTGTCAACCCAGGGCCAAGATTTACTTATGCTACAGAAGCATTTTGTCCCAGAAAGTCCCTGTGTTGCCTGTAAATAACTTGCTCAAAGATTGCTGGTCCACTTCCTCTTTCCCTGCCCTTCCATGTATCATAGTCCTTGCATCATTACTGTAAAGAGCTGGTTAAGTCCTAGAACCATTGTGTTGTTGTTTTTAAATCTTTTATTTATTTATTTATTTATTTATTTTGGGGAGGCTGGACCTGTCATTTCATTGCTATATGAAACTCCTAAGAGAGAAAACTCTCCCTATCATTGCAAGTCAGGGTGTTCTCTGCAACATATAGTGTTTTTTTAAAAGACAATTTTTAACATTCTAGAACAAATGGAGTTTCTATTATGTTTCCTGGGGCCCAGGGTCACTATAATGCTAACAAATGGAGCTTCCATCTGTAGCCCTGATGCAGTAATGTCATCTAAGGTTTGATAGCAGCTTTCAGCTTGACACAGCTTATTAGTAGAGGCTGTGAGAGGGCTGATGGTGGAAGGAAGAAGGAAAGACTAGGGAGAGAAGGGTGTTGAGGCAATTTTCTTTCAGTCCTTGAGGGGACACAATTTTTCTATATTTAGAGATGCTCAGGGAAGAGGCAGGAGGAGAAGTGACCAGCAGAGGGTAATAAGGAGTCTATAACAGAACAAGGGACAGTTTTGTGTGTGTGTGTGTGTGTGTGTGTGTGTGTGTGTGTGTGTATGTGTGTGTCTGTATGTGGGAGGAACTGAATTACTGACTTCCATTTGGAAGTCAATCAATACTGTCCTCTCCCCCCAGGACCAAATGGCTAGACAGTAGGTAGTGAAAAGTAAATAGCCATTACTTCTTCAAGACCCTGTTATACTGGCCTAGTGAATCAGTGTCTAAGGACAGAGAGGCAAATAATGACAGAGGAAACAATACTACCCTCCTTTCACTCCTCTTAAGATCAAGGATCTTTGCCTAGTTATAGGGTCCCCAGTCAGACACATGCTTTCTGAAGGTTTCCCTAACGCCCCTTTCTTCCTGTTGTTGGAGTGGCTAGTTGAATCAGGAGAGCAGAGATGTTAGGAGTGAGCAGAGCACGAAGAATGTTTAACTTGGAGAAGGGAAGAGAAGACTCAGAGGGAACATGATAGCTCTCTTCAAATATTTGTCTTCAAGTATCAAGGGCTGTCATGTGGAAGAGGAAGGGAATAGAGCTATTATATGTGGCACCAGAAGGTAGAACCAAGAATAATGCTTGGGAGTTTCAAGGATAAAAATTTGGGACAGGAGGAGCCAAGATGGGACAGGAGGGACCAAGATGTTAGAGCAAAGGCAGAAACTTGCCTGAGCTCTCTCCCAAACCCCCATACTTCCAAATACCTTTAAATAATGACTCTTAACAAATTCTAGAGCAGCAGAACCCAAAAAAAGATAGAGTGAAACAATTTGCCAGCCCAATTCAACTTAGAAGATCAGCAGGAAAGATCTGTTGCACTAGGGTGAGAGAGGAGTGCAAGCCAGTGAAGACTGGGCCCCAGCAAACCATAAATAGTATTCCAGGTGACTGAGTCAGTGGTAGCAATGGTGGTTTCCAGACTTCTCAGCCCACATATGGTAAAGGACCAGACAATGAGTCAGAAGGAGATTTACAGGGGTCCCTTTTGTGGCACTAGGAATAGGACTGTGTTGCATTGCCTATACTTGGATCTGAGTTGCGGTCCTGGGTCTTAGTCCCTGTGTGAGGAGGCACACTATCAAAGCAGAGCTTGTGGCCACAGGGAAACAGGGACCATAATTACAGTTCCGGAGCTGAAAAGAGTGCTTGTGGTTGCGCATAAACCACTGCACAGTACAGGAGAATAGTAAACACACCTTTCTCTAGATCATACCATCTTGGAAGAGCCAAAAACTTGCAAGTCCCCAGAATTACCTCTGAAAACAGCTGCACAAAAAACCTAAAACTTGGGACAATGACCCCTCCACGTGGGAGCAGATCCTCACTTTATCATAGAGTTAAAAGTCAAGAAATAGGCTAGAAAATGAGCAAAGAACAGAAAAAAAAATCTGACCATAGAAAGTTACTATGGTGACAAGGAAGATGAAAACACACACTCAGAAGACAACAAAGTCAAAATTCCTGCATCCAAAGCCTCAAAGAAAAATACTAATTAGTCTCAGGCCATGGAAGAGTTCAAAAAGTATTTTAAAAATCAAGTAAGAGAAGTAGAACAAAAATTCGGAAGAGAAATGAGAGTGATTTGAGAAAATCATGAAAAAAAGGGTCAACAGCTTGGTAAAGGAGCCACAAAAAATACTGAAGAAAATAGCACCTTAAAAAACCAAATGGTAAAAGCAACACAAAAATCCAGTGAAGAGAAGAATGCCTGAAAAAGCAGAATTGGCCAAATGGAAAAAGATATGCAAAAATTCACTGAAGAGAAGAACTCCTTAATAAGTAAAATTGGCCAAATGGAAAAGGTAGTACAAAAGTTCACTGAAGAAAATAATTCCTTAAAAGTTAGAATTGGACAAGTGGA